ATTAATGCCTCATCTTCCATTTCAGTCTGTTGGGTGGTGGCACCAACATCTACCAATGTAATCTCTCCCACAGCGTGCTACCTGAGTCACAACTCCACGTCCTCTTTTTAAAATTTTTTGAGATGGAGTCTTGACAAATTGCCCAGGCTGGCCTCAAACATACAAAATTTTCTCGCCTCACCCTCCCAAATAGCGGAGATTACAGGCTGAACCACTGCACCTGCAGCAAGATACTGCCTAGCTACTGTCTCATGTACAGTAGCTCTCAAAATCTACACTTACTAGTTATAAAGTTATAAAATATTTTGTATTTTTATACTATTTTTATGAGTGCTGAGGGTTGAACCCAGGGCCTTCACAAGCTAAGCATATGCTCTACCACCGAGCTACATATTCCAGCACCTCCTTTTCCTTTTGTAAGTGAATTGTGATCATAAGATGATCTCATAATCATTTAATGGATCACAACTCATTTGAAAAATACTAGTAAAGAGCTAAGGACAAGAATTTTTTCTTTTTGCAACGCTGGGCGTCAATCACAGGCCTATGCAGGTCAGACAAGCCCTCTACCACCAGCCCAAATTCATACTTTTTTCCCTTTGAGGCAGGATATCAGTATATTGCCCTGGCTAGCCATGAACCTTTGGATTCAAGTGGTCCTCCTGCCTCAGTCTCCCAAGTAGCTGGGACTACATATGCCTGCCATCATGCATGGTTATTTGTTAATTTTTGGTACTGAGAACTGAACCCAGAGATGCTAAACCACTGAGCCACATCCCCAGTCCATTTTATATATTTTATTTAGAAACAGGGTTTTGCTGAGTTGCTTAGGGCTTCTCTAAGTTGCTAAGGCTGGTTTTGAACTCACAATCCTTCTGCCTTAGCCTCCTGAGCTACTGGGATTGGGCATATGCCACCACGCCTGGCTCTGTTATTTTGTATTTTTATTTTATTTATTTATTATTTTTTTTAAAGAGAGAGGAGAGAGAGAGAGAGAGAATTTTTTTTTTTAATATTTATTTTTTAGTTCTCGGCGGACACAACATCTTTGTTGGTATGTGGTGCTGAGGATCGAACCCGGGCCGCACGCATGCCAGGCGAGCGCGCTACCGCTTGAGCCACATCCCCAGCCCCTATTTTGCATTTTTAAACACAATATAAAAACTTAATTCAAGTCAGGCACAATGGCATATACCTGTAATCCCAGAAACTCAGGAGACTGAGGCAGGAGGATCACAAGTTCAAGGGCAGCTAAGCAACTTTAAGACCTTGTCTCAAAATAAAAAATAAAAAGGGCTGGAAATACAGCTCATTGTACAGTACCCCTGGACTCAATCCCCAGTACCAAAAAAAGGTTCACATAATGAACAAAGAGATGTAAGCACTGGGCATCCAGGAGAGCCACGTCGCAAAAAGACAATCAGACACTCTGTCTCCCAGTGGAAGAACACAACACAGCCGAGGAAGCAGGCGTGCAAAAACATCAAATTTGAACATCCTAGCCTCTGGATCCAGTTATCAACTTACAAAAATACAAAGGAGAGGTGGACGTGTTAAACTATACCACCAGGTACATGCATGTTCCTAGTATACAGGGAGCCATGAGCTCAATCCCTAGCAACACACACACACACACACACACACACACACACACACACACACACACACCAGCAACCACTGTGCTAAACTATACTACAAGAAAACAATCAGCAAAATCTAGTATTGGGGGCCAGAAGAAGTGAAATCTTTTATTTAAAAGTATTAAAAGACAAATTAACCTATCACAATAAATGCTATTTAGATCCTTGTTTAAAAAAAATTAAGCCATTTATGACCAATGAAAATTTGAACCTGATTTGACATTGATGATATTAAGGATTATTTCTTCTTGTTGTTGTATAATAGCTTTGTAGCTGTTTTTAAAAGAGCCCTTATTTTTATAGGTACACCTGAAATATTTACAGATGAAATAATATGATCCCTTTACCTTGCTCTAAAATAATATGGGAAGACAATGACAAATGCTTCCAACAATGTAGAGAAAGGGGACCCTCATAAATCSATGGTAGAAGCAAACTGATAGACTAGCTTAATATTTACCAGTGATACCAAGCACCTGGTGTTTTAACTCTAGAAATGTAGAAACAGTGCTAAACTGGCTAGCAGTGTGTCCTACTACTAGCTTTAGGAAACAGTTTGGCCGTTTCTCAAAAAGCATAAATCTAACATATGACCCAACAATTCTACTCCACTCCAGGGTATCATCTAAGAGAAATGAAAATATACAGCCCCTGAAGATTTGCATGAGTGTTTGTAGCAGCATTATTCATAACCGCCAAAAAGTGGAAACAACCTAGATGCCATCAATTGGCAAGTGGCTTGCAACAGGTGATTTACCTGTACAAAGGAATCACATTCTATAAACAGAAACAAATTATGGTACACGGTACACCATGGATGAACCTCAAACATCTAAGTAAGAAGTTCACAAGAAAAGACCACTTACTGTGATTCCATTTTTATGAAATACCCAAATTATATAGAGAGCTACAAAGAAGATTAGTGGTTGCCTGGAGCTGGCAACGTGAGAATGGGAATCAACTGCTAACCAGCACAAGGGATCGACTTTTTTTTTTTTGGTACCGGGTATTGAACTCAGGGGCACTCGACCTATATTTTATTTGGAGACAAGATCTCACTGAGTTGCTTAGCGCCTCAAAGTTGCTTTGAACTTGAAATTCTTCTCAGCCTCCAAAGCCACTGGGATTAYAGGTGTGCACCACCGCACCTGGCAGCACCAGGGATCTTCTGGAGAGGTCTGGGGCTGGACAGTGGTTGACAGCTGGACAAGTTGGTAAATTTAATAACAATCACTGAATTACACACTTAAAATAGGTGACTTTTATAGTATCTAAGTTACACCTCAATAAAGTTGATTATTTATTTAACAGGGAGAGCATGAATGCAGTCCCTGAATATGACAAATCATACAATCAAGTTTCCCACACTTGGGGTCAGAACACCCAGAGTCCAGTGGATGAGCCTCCCCTGAGAGAACCACTTTCATAATCATGGTATCTCCCCTGACGCATAAGTATAATAAAGTTGTTTTCAAAAGTAAGAAATACAGAAAAGTCTTAAAAGAGAAGGAATGTCAGAAGACTGAGAAAACCAAAAGAATGTTGGAAAATAAAGACTGAATTACAAAAGAAAAGATTCCTTTTTAATTAAAAACAAAATGGGAACAGGGAAATACACATGGGGTGGGGGGGGTGGGCACAACAATGACAAAGGTGGCACATGCCTACAATCCTAGCAACTAAGGAGGCTGGGAGAGGAGGATAGCAGTTTGAGGCTAGCCTGGGCAACTTAATGAGACCTGGTTTCACTACAAAAATTAAAAAGGCTTGGAGGTGTAGCTCAGTGGCAGAGCACCCCTGGGCTCTATGCAGTACTGCAAAGGGAAGGAATATCTGCATTAGCCACTGGTTGATGGTTATTGAGGCTGGGTGACAGGTACATGGAAGCTGATTATACAACTCTGCCCATGCTGGAGTACTTGAGATTCTCCCTGATAAGGTCTTTTTGTTTGTTTGTTTGTTTGTATGTAAAGATCAATGCATATTCCTGATATTCAGGAACCTCTTCAGGCTATTCTTTTCAGTCCAGGTTCCAGTGGGATTCCTATTTCAATTTCAAGCAAAACAAGACAATCTAATACTGTTCCAAAAARTTCTCTTCAGGTGATTTTCATTTTCTTGGACAAGAAATTAGAATGTTTACGAGAAAATTCAAAATTCCAGTACTGATTACAGAATGAGCACAATACTATTTTTGAAACATGTTACAAAGATAAAAYCATTAAATAATTTAGCATCACAGGGAGAAATCAATCACCAGAATTAAGCCAATTCAGTTTGCTTCTACCGCTTTACAGGAATACTTTCCTATATCAATGAGGCCAGGCACCCGGTGTTTTAAATCCAGAGATGTAAAAAGAAGAGCACTGGACTGGGAGCTAGAAGGAGAGGTCCCAGTGYGTCCTACTGCTAGTTTTGCCAACAACTTATAAACTGTATGAACTCAACGACACTACTTCATCTAAGACCAGATATCGTCCTCTAAGAGAGAATTTTAAAGACAGGGTGTTCTGAACCTGGAGTGGGAAACCTGGGACAGGATTATGAAGCCTCAGACAGCCCACCAAAGTTTTGCCCAGATTTCAACGTGCACTTCTCCGCTCTCAGCAGATTCTCAAAGGGAACTAAGATCCACCATCCTTCTGGGATTAAAAACCATTTTATTCACGGCAATTTTTATGGATCTGGCCAAGCTTTCAAATCTGAAATCTGGATTCTTTAAACTGCCTGCATTCCCAAAATACAGCGTCACGGTTACAAGACGAACTTCGTGCAACCCACAAACTTCTTAGAAAACTGTACACTGGCTTCGGGTCATAACGATGCTCTTTCCTATTCCCCATGTGTATTAATTAACCTGTGGAACCACCGGGTCGTTACGTGTCCGCCTTGGAGGACTTTCACCGGTGCCTTCCAAGGCCAGAGCCCAGGCCCATCATGAAGCTGGCTGACGGGAGCCGGGAAGAGGCGCCAGGCCCCCTACTTGGGGGACTGCGGGTAAGTAGTTCGAACGAGGAGTGACATTCCTCCGGAGAAGCTCAYTGCGGTCGCTCGGCGCCGTGCGCGCCCCGAACCTAACCGGTACACCGGGGCTGGTTCCGCGCGGCTCGGGCCCGCAGRCACCGGGGCGCGGAGGCGGAGCCGGCGGAGCAGGGACGAGGTAAAGCGGGTGAGGAGAGCGGCCGGCCGGCTGCGAGGACAGAGCCGGGACCCGGCGGGCGCGGTGGAGCGGCCCGGCCCCACGGCCCGCAGCCCCCCGCCCTCCCGGGACCGGGCCGGAGCCGSTGCCCCGTGCTCAGAGGCCGCGGGCCCGAGCTGCCCGGCCCGGGAGTGGCCCCGGCCCTCCCGGCCCGCCCTTACTTTGAGTGCCAGGTGGTGGACGCGGCCCAGGCCGGGCCCGGCCAGCAGCTGCAGCAGCCCCAGGACCGGGAGCAGCCGGAGGCCCGCGGCCAGCCGAAGACGGCGGGAGCCCGAGGGGCCAAGGGGCCGAGGGGCGGCCATGTTGGTTCCAGCATCACCAGCTGTTTCCTCTCCCGCCCACTTCCGGGGTCAAAGGGCGACGGCCACCGGAAGGGCCCGGGGAGGGGGCGCGCGGCAGGAATCCCACGGGCTCGGGAGTGGTCTCGCCCGAGGGCCGCCCACCGGGTCACCCAACAGCCTCCTCGGCGCGGACTTTGTGGTCAGCCGACGGAGGCCAGGCCGCCGGGGACGCCGAGGTTGTTGCCATGGCGACGGCGGCCTCCGGGGCCGACCGCCGCCTCGCGGGGCTCCGGAGCAGCCCGGGCGGGGAGGCGGCGGCTCTGACTGCACCGGCGTCCGGGGTGGGAAGCGTGGGGAAGCCCTGAGTGGCTGGGTCCCTTGGGTGCCCTCCGGGCCCTTCCCACGGAATCTCTGCAGAAGTGGGTGCAGCAGGGGGGCGTGCTGGGACCCCTGCAGCAGCTCACTCCCTGGGACGAGCTGGTGAGACGGGAGGTAGGTGTTTTCCTCGCCCCGCTCCACAGTCKCGCCAACCCGGGCTCTAGAAATGCAGCCTGTGTTCCCGCTGGAGCCGGGGATCACTGGAAGCTCTGAGAACCGGGGCTGGGACCACGCACTGCAGCCGAACCTGCCGCGGCGTCCGTCGGAGACGAAGGGGTCGAGAAAACGTGGTGTCCACACACAGCGGAGTTGCATTCAGCCATAAAGAAGAACGAAATTATATAATTTACAGAAAAATGGATGGAAGTAGACACCATTGTGTTTAGCAAAATAAGCCAAACTCAGAAGGTCGAGTCGTTTGTTTTCTCTTATGTAGAAGCTGCAGAGGAAAGGGGGAAAGAAAGGTCGGGGGCGGGGCAGMGATCTCCAGAAAATCAGAGGGCGATGGGTCAGTAGTGGAAAGGGCCCAGGGTGTGGGAGGAGGGCAGGGAGCGGGGAAGTGCTGGGGAGGGATGTTGGCCAAATTATCTTGCCATATTGTGTGCATGTCGAGTGTGTAACAACAAATACCATCGTTATGTACGATTATAATGCACCAATAAAAAATGTGGGGTGGGGGGGGGGAGTTGGGGGCTGAGAGCATATTTCAGTGGTAGAGCCCTTGCC